GTAAAACAACTAGAATAGTACCTGTATCATTAAAAGTTCAATAAATATTACAACTTTTAAAAGCCAAATTCAATATGTATGAGCTATATATAAGCCTGAGCTATATATGAAACTGAATGAAGAAAGTACCCCAGTTTCACAAAGTAGACAATGGAAGGCTATCTTTAGAAATAAAAGGCAACAGCTGAATTAAACAGTACATCAACCTTCTCTACTTGTTAGTAGCTGAGCAACCTTCCTCAAATTTTCAGTCTACTTATAGATAAATTACAAAATGAAAGGTAGATTAATTACAGGATGAAAGTATATCTGTGAATCATATGACACTAATTTAAAGAGCACTGAATACTTACTGTAAGAAAATCTGTTAGTAATTAGCCATATATGCATATAAAGAAGGTTGACTATAAAAAATATAGACTGGGAGGATGTAAGAGAAAAATAAGGGGGAGGGGTAACAAGTTTGACAAGAAATGTACTTATTACCTTACTTATGTAAATATAACCCCTCTGTACATCACCTTATCAAAAAAAAAAGAGCAAAAGAGAAAAGAAAAAAAATAGAGACTGATAATAGGTGCAGCAGTTGGCATAACAATGATTTTCATAGTGCTTTATAATATATACTTATCATCTATTATTAAATGACCTAAGTCACTGGGCATGAGTGAAGCACGTTGCTTCTCTCCTCCTCTCTCAACTCTAAATATGCCCTAAAGGGATTTTCACTGCTCAGATTTGGTCTCATAAGTCACTAATTCTACATAGAACATGTTCAGGTCTTGATTTTTCTCTCACTGGAGTCAGAAGGAACAAGTTGTCTCTCTGTCACATTGGGAAGCTTACAGCAAGCGGAGTGAGTGTTAAAGTTCACAAATTATAAAGAACCTGAAGAATGCCTCAGTCAGACTTGCTCTTATGTTCCATATAGTACCAAGGAAATTTTGGGCACTTGATAACATCCCTGAGAATAAAAAGTCAGCATTCACTAAGTTACCCGTCTTTGCTGCCAAAGAACAATGGGACTTCAGTAATTTTCTACTTTTAAAGCAGAAATAGATAGGACATGACTTCAACATTAGCAAAATGTCAAGACCACTCCAATATGCACTTGTTCTACACTAGCATGTGGGACAGTGAGCACAGCTCTGTGCCTTGGGCAGAGACTTGCCCTAACCTCCTTCAGCTGTTTGAAATGATAGCCACAGATGAGAAAGTGTAGCTCTATATTACTCCCTCTCAACTGGAAAAAAGTAAAAACATATAATGTCTGTATCTTCATCATAACCCAACTCAGAAAACACAATTTTTTTTTTCTTTTTTGGTCAGTTATGGGTATAAACTCTGGGCCTGGGTGCTGTCGCTCCACTTTTCAGCTTAAGGCTAGTAGTGCTCTACCACTTGAGCCACAGCACCACTTCTGGTTTTCTGGTGGTTTTTTGGAGATAGAGTCCCACAGACTTTCCTGCCTCGGCTGGCTTTGAACCGTGATCCTCAGATCTCAGCCTCCTGAGCAACTAGGATTACAGACGTGAGCCACCTGTGCCCAGCACACCTCAAATTTACTAGCCTCATATTTACTATCTTACTTATCAACCACTTAGCAAGTTCTCTAACCCGGAAAATGCATAGAAAATGTATTGAAGGATCATATACACACAGTACATTCTATGCTCCATACAAGGCTGTCTTGAGAATTCAATATACTCTCTCTCAGGACTTATGAAAGATGAAATTTATATCACTAGTTTTTCTGTTTCAGGCAATCTGTGAAAGGAAACCAACATTATTTATAGTAAACAGATTCTATGCTATTGAAAGGGTAATTAAAAATATACCCTTAGCCGGGTGCTGGTGGCTCACGCCTGTAATCCTAGCTACTCAAGAGGCTGAGATCTGAGGATCGCGGTTCAAAGCCAGCCCGGGCAGGAAAGACCATGAGACTCCTATCTCCAATAAACCACCAGAAAACCGGGAGTGGCGCTGTAGCTCAAGTGGTAGAGCGCTCGCCTTTAGCTGAAGAGCTGAGGGACAGTGCCCAGGCCCAGAGTTCAAGCCCCACGGCCGACCAAAAAAAAAAATAATAATAACAGTTAAAAAAATAAATAAATAAAATAAATAAATAAAAATATACCCTTTATATATGTTTTTCAAACTATTTGTCAGGTTTTTGTTAAGATTCTTAGGACTGGCCACATAACAATTTGAGTCTAAAAAGAATCTTTATATCCTAGCTTCTTCCAATTAAATGCTAAAGAGCCCTATTCATTTAGCATTTATTATATATGACAAATACATATATAGTACAATATTTACTAGATATAAAATCTATATTTATACCTAATTATATAAATTATATAAATTTTTTCTAAATTATGTATTAGCTATAATTATATATTCCATATTTATTATAGATATACCTATAATATAGATACATATATAATAGAAAGATACACTATATCTAATATATCTAGTTTTATATATATATATATATATATATATACACACACAGAGGAAGGAAGGAAGGAAGGAAGGAAGGAAGGAAGGAAGGAAGGAAGGAAGGAAGGAAGGAAGGAAGGAAGGAAGGAAGGAAGGAAAGAGAGAGAGAGAGAGAGATTGTGTGTGTGTGTGTGTGTGTGTGTGTGTGTGTGTACCAATCCTAGGGCTCGAACCCAGGGCCTGGGTAATGTCCCTGAACTTTTGTGCACAGTGCTAGCACTTTACCACTGGAGCCACAGCTCTACTTCCAGCTTTTTGGTGGTTAATTGGTAATAAAGGTCTCACAGATTTTCCTGCCCAGGCTGGCTTTGAACCATGATCCTTAGATCTTAGCCTCCTGAGTATCTAGAATTACAGGCATGAGCCATCAGCACCTGGCTTTTGAGTATGAGCATGTGTGTGCACACACACATCTTTAAAATAATCTTGACAGAAGAAAATGGTTGAAGATGATCTGAAGTGTCATCTTCCCACAGCATGGCTATGCCACTTACCTCTTTTTCTTTTCTGATAAACTTTCCTATCACTTAAAAAAAAATTCTCAGACCAGGAATGTGGCTTGATGGTAGAATGCTTGCCTAGGATGCATGAAGCCCTGGGTCTGATTCCTCAGTACCACATAAACAGAAAAGGCCAGAAGTGGCGCTGTGACTTAAGTGACAGAGTTCTAGTCTCGAACAAAAGAAGCTCAAGGACAGTGACCAGGCCCTGAGTTCAAGCCCCAGGACTGGCACATGTGCATGTACACATACACACACGTGCGTATACACACACATACAAAATCCCAAAATCTGTTTGCAAGTTAACCAGAGTGCCTCCTTAAGATAAAACTAAACTAAAGGGGCTGGGAAGGTGACTCAGTGGTAGAGCGCTTGCCTTGCATACAAGAGGCCCTAGGTTCGATTCCTCAGTACCACATAAGCAAGTGAAAAAAGCTGGAAGTGGCGCTGTGGCTCAAGTGGTAGAGCACTAGCCTTGAGCTGAAGAGCTGAGAAACAGCGCCCAGGCCCAGAGTTCAGGCCCCACGACCAGACCCAAAAAAAAAAAAAAAAAAAACTAAACTAAAACAAGGATAGGACTTTCACTATGAGGATAGATTTGGAGAAAACAAGAGTATTTCAGTATTTTTGTCCTATACTTTCTATTATGGGAAACATGTCATTTCTGAAAAGTGAAATTATATACAAAGGTCTCTGGAGTTGGTGCTGATGTTGAGGTACCAAGAAGACCCAATTAGAGCTTCAGTAAGGCCACCAACCTGTCTCAAATCAAAAACACAGATTTAAATTTAACCACAACATTGGGAACAAAGAAAAGGAAGCAATTATTGAACTAGCTAATACAGTTTACTTCTACACATAAATTGTTTTTATGAACATCATGACCAGAAGGGAGCTGAAAAAGGAAATTTAAACTATGAACTAAAGGAACTGTTTTAACTAAGATACTATATTCCTTCTCATACTCCTCACCCTGGACTTCTGGTGATCACTGAATACACACCACGTTCACCAGGTCCCTCTGTCTAACACAGGTCCTGTACTCTCTTCTGAAAGTTGAGTAAACGTCAAATCCTTATTAAGTTTTCCTGATCCTGAAAGTCAGAATGGACTTATCTTTTGAGTTCAAACATTTTATTATATCTTGAATATTACAGACTGCTCTGAATAACAGCTTACTGTATCTATGCTTAAAATTGATCACTACTGCTGTATCATAAGACCACCACAGTTCCAGCACTATCCTTCAATCCTCAAACTAGTGGGTTGTTTGCTTTGTTGTTGTTTTTTTTTAACTAATCATTGTGCAAAATGAAAGACTGGGGAAATAGCTTGTTGGCAGAACTCTTGCCTAGCATATGCAAAGTTCTGGTTTCAATCCCGAGCCCCGTGAAAATAGAGTGAATGAATGAGTGACTGACTGAACAGAGCAGATGCCAGTAAATGAGTAATTATATATATATGAATATATATCTACACACACACATATATAATATTCATCCCAGAGAGCTTCAAAAGAAAACAAAAAGCCATATACCCTGCAAAGCCACATATGCTACAGATAATAAAAACTCACACAGCATGCAAGTCACATATCTACAAGTCAGATATGTGATTCCAGCCACAGCAGTCTCATGACTTTATAATTTTACACAGTGTCACCTGAACATTGTTTGGCATGATGCTAAAGATAGTCAAATTGTAAGAGTCAGGAATAAAAGTGAAAATAATGTGTTACTGCAGAATCCTTGCAGGACTTTAGTATGAGAATATATACTACAAATGTGAAGACAAAATTATAGTATGAAGCCATTAGGAAACTAAGTTGAGTCAGATCCTAAGAAGAGTTTGGAACATTACTCAAAAGTAGACTTTTCTTCTCTGTATATAACCTTTATAATAACAAAAAAATTAAAAAGAAGAAAAAAAGAGTTGGGCATGCTTTTGGTTTTGTTCACAATATTAATGGGTAAAATAAATTAACTTCTAAAGAGTTCTTACCTGATATGTGTTGCAGGCAGAGATTCATACTGGCGTGACAAAAAGAGTTCCCTGTGTTTCAACTGATGTTTCTGTTTTTCAGTCAAGTCAGTCTCAACTGTTGTTTCAGATTCTTCCTCAATTTCTCCTACACAAATAAAATTCAAAGAATTTATTATTACAAAGCATACTGGCTATATGGTTATTAAAGTAGAATTTAAAAGAGGTCAAACTTTAATTTGCTATTTTCTTCAAAATAATCAACTTTAAAGCTGTACATTAAACTTTCATTTCAATTACAACTATAAAACTAAGTTATCTGGACCTGAAAGAAGAAAATTCCAATTTAAAAATGGCAGCCATCAAGTGGTAGAGTGCTAGCCTTGAGCTGAAGAGCTGAGGGACAGCGCCCAGGCCCAGAGTTCAGGCCCCACAACTGGAACCCTCCCCCCCCCCAAAAAAAAGAAGCTTTGGGCTAGGAAGGTGGATCAGTGGTAGAGCGCTTGCCTTGCATGCTTGAGGCCCTGGGTTCGATTCCTCAGCACCACATAAGCAGAAGAAAAAAAAAGCCGGAAGTGGCACTGTGGCTCAAGTTAACACTATATTTTATCATCTCTTTAGAGGAAAAAAAGTATTACCGATATCATTTACAGACAATTCTATTTAACTTAAAACTATAACTGGAACAGACTATGTGGATATAAGAAGAGTGAGGGCTGGGAAGGTGGCTCAGTGTAGAGCGCTTGCCTTGCATGCTTGAGGCCCTGGGTTCGATTCCTCAGCACCACATAAGCAGAAAAAGCTGGAAGTGGTGCTATGGCTCAAGTGGTAGAGCTCTAGCCTTGAGCTGAAGAGCTGAGGGACAGCGCCCAGGCCCAGAGTTCAGGCCCCACTACTGACCAAAAAAAAAGAATAGTGAGCACACTGAGGACTCAAAGAGAGAGTCTGTCTAAAGTAAGAGGGGATGGGCTAGTTCTTCACAAAGAAGCCAAACCCTCAGGCAAACCTGGAACATCTGGACATGCCTAGAGATCTTAACTTTGAGACAGCAATGGGTGGCATATACACAGCTGTTTCTATTCTATGACCCTAGAAAAAAAGAGAGTTAAAAAAATCAAATACAGTCTACTAACAATTCTTTTTTAATTGCACAGTCTAACAAATGGGCTTTGTCCGATCTTTCCTACTTTCCAACTTTCAAAACTGTGAACTGAAAACAAACCTGAAAAAAACTGATCTAAAAGCCTCACTTAGTTCAAAGAAAGAACAAGGCAATTTAAGATTCTTTGAATGTTCTTTTTAATGAACTACTCAAAAGAGAAATACAGCATTAAAGGAACCATTTACTTGCAGGTCTAATAACATTTCACCAACAGAGATCAATGAAGTCATTGCTGTACTGGGACTATTAGTACAGTACCATCAAATATCACATACAATATTGTACTTTTATTTTTTACCAGTCCTGCAGCTTGAACTCAAGTCCTAAGCTTAGTCCTTGAGCTTCTTTGTGCTCAAGGCTAGCACTCTACCACTTGAGCCACAGTGCCATTTTTAGCATTTTCTGAGTAATTTATTGGGGTGAAGAGTCTAACAGATTTTCCTGCCAGGGCTGACTCCAAACCACAAGCCTCAGAGCTCAGCCTCCTGAGTAGCTAGGATTACAGATATAAGCTACCAGTGCCTGGCTCAAAATTATACTTTTTAAATTACGTTTGATATATTGTTGTTCTTGAAGACATAAATAACTGATTTTTATTTATTTATATATTTTTTATTTTTTTTGTCATGGGGCTTGAACTCTGGCCTGAACACTGTCCCTCAGCTTTCAGCTCAAGGCAAGCACTCTACCACTTGAGCCACTGCGCCACTTCCAATTTTCTGAGTAGTTTATTGGAGATAAGAGTCTCACGGACTTTCCTGCATGGGCTGGCTTTGAATCATGATCCTCAGATCTCAGCCTCCTAAGTAGCTAGGATTACAGGCATGAGCCACCAGTGCCAGCTAGCTAACTGAATTTTAACAGGTATTCTACAGCGCTTAAAATACCATCACATGCTACAAATAGTAAAAACATCAAAATCTTTCTTCCTTCTTTTCCTCCTTCCTTCCTTCTTACCTTCTCTCCTTTCCTCCCCTCCTCCCTCCTTCCTTTTTGGTCATTTTTTCTTGAGCCCAGAACCTGCATATCTAGCCAAATGCTCTACCGCAGAGCTACACTCCTCCCCCAAATTTTATTCTCTTTAACAACATTGAGGAATAAGCTGAAAAGGACTAAACGTTCTTTAGTCCAACGCAACCAGAGACAGAAATGACCACAATTATCTTTCAATATGAACGTCACTAATGGATACTATTTAAACTTACTTTCAATTTTCATTTACATGTATCTATAAATTTGTTCTAGCTCAAAAGCCAGAATGAATGATAACACCAACGTTCTAAAAACACTGAGCAATAGTAGAAATTAGCATTTATACAAGGACCATTTTAAAAGACTTAATAGAACTATCTCAGTTAAAAGTTATGCATTGGGCCACGTGTACTGCTCAACTGAGCAGCACATGCTAGCATGTATGAGGCCCCAGGATGGATCCCAACACTACAAAAATTTTTTAATTCATGTAAATCACTTTAAAAATCATTTTACCAAGCTTGATGGAATTCTGAATATTCTCTTACTAATGTTATTAAAACAAAAGTCAAGCATTCTACAGAAATAGAAGACAATGAATAGCAAATAATTTACCATATTTCCTTTACAGGAAATATTTTCAGAAGCAATAAGTCAGACTAGCAATAAGTCACTGAAGGCAAAGAGGAGGAAGAGAATAGAAGGTATTTTTTTAAGTTTTAAAAAGTAATGATGGCCAGTCACTGGTGGCTCACACCTGTAATTTCTATCTACTCAAGAGGCTGAGATCTGAAGATCATCATTCAAAGCAGCCCATGAAGTAAAGTCTGCGAGACTCTCATCTCCAATTAACCACCAGAAAACCAGAAGTGGCATTATGGCTTAAAGTGGCAGAGCACAAGCATTGAGCAAAAAATCTCAGGGACAGCGCTTAGGTCCTGAGTTCAAGCTCTACAACAATCAAAAATAAATAAATTGCAATGATGTTGCTTGTTTAGTGCTGCTTGTGTGTGTGTATCTGCCATGCTATGCCTTGCCAGTACTGGGGCTTGGACTCAAGACTTGAATGCTGTCCTTTAGCTTTTATGCTTCAGGCTGTTATACTTGAGCCACAGCTCCACTTCCAGCTTTTTGAAGATTAACTGGAGATAAACATCTCACAGACTTTCCTGCTCCAGTGGTTTCAAACTGTGGTCCTAAGATTTCAGCCTCCTGAGTACATAGGATCAGAACTGAACAGCACCTGCCAATATGTTTTAACTGCATGTACCACATAATTAATGTGTGACCCACGAAAGCTCCCACACACTGTAAAGTTTTAACTGCATGGTGAAAAAGATGTCAGAAGCCCCAAAAGCTGCATGTAGGTTGAGAAAGCTAGACTCAAAGAAATCCTTCCAGGTGAATAGTCTAGAGCGCCTGAGAATCCAACTACAGGAGTGGCAGATCAGTTTCAACAGTAGATTACACACAAGGACTCAGTCAAAATTTTAGTGATTGGGTACGTAACCCCAAGGTGGCTAATGAATGTAAGTAACTAAGTGTCTTGATGTCAGTGGCTCACTCCTGCAATCCTAGCTACTCAGGAGACAGATTTGAGGATCAAGGTTCAAATCCAGATGAGCAGACAAATCCATGAGACTCTTTATCTCCAATAAACCACCAAAAATTCAGAAGTGAAGAAGCTCAAATGGTAAAGCAGCAGCCTTCAGCAGAAAAAGCTAAGCCCTGAGTTCAAGCTGTAGTAACAGTATGCATGTGCACACACGCGCACACGTACATGCTCACATACACACACACACACACACACATACATACAGAGTGAGCAGTAAGGTTCAGGAGAGCCATTACTGATTCTGGGATCTTAGCCTGAAACTGAGTACTATTCCAGCTAGCTCAGAATTATAATTCCCACATGTTAGCGTGGGGGATTCAGGCAAAAAAGACTTTTCCATAAGTTATTCAAAAGTACTCTTAGAGGAAATGTACTCATTACCTGACTTATGTAACCCCTCAGTATATCCCCTTTACAGTATTTTTTTTGTGGGGGGAGGTCAGTCATGGGGCTTGAACTTTGGGCCTAGGCACTGTCCCTCAGCTCTTCAGTTCAAGGCTAGTGCTCTACTATGAGAGCCACAGTGCCACTTTCGGTTTTCTGGTGGTTTATTGGAGATAAGTCTCATGGACTTTCTTGCCTGGGCTGACTTTGAACTGCTAATCCTCAGATCTCAGCCTACTTAGTAGCTAAGATTACTATAGGCATGAACCACTGGCACTCAGCTATAATAACAATTTTAAAATCTAAAAAAAAAAACAATGGTGGGGAGGGAGTAGTTAGGTCTCTATTTAAATGAGAGAGCACTCACAGCAATGAGATGTGAACTGATACAAACTATATAGAAAAGCATGAAGTTAAAAAAAAAGACTGTATTTGTATTTTACAATTACTTAAGTTGAAAGCTTATTATACTGAAAATAGCTCAGTGATGATATAACTCATATTTACCTGGTAAGGAAAGAGAAAAGTCTTCAAAAATAGAGTTAGCAATTTAATTACAACTAAAAGGAATCTGAAAAATGAGATTTCAGGGAACTATAATGAATGCAGAAAACAATTTGGCAGCTTAAGAACAAGTGATCAGCAAAGTCAATTACAATTTTATTGCTAGCAATAAACATATATAAGTTGAAATTAAGAAAACAATTCTGCTATGGTAACTCCAAAAAGAATAAAACACTTAGTAATAATATTTTTAACAAGATAAAAAGCTTTTATGCTCAAAACTACAAAACATTACTAAAGACCAAATAAATGGCAAACAACCCATGTTCACAAGTCGGAAGAGTTAATATTGTTTAAAATGACAATATTCCCCACCCCCTTGATCTACAGACCACTATCACATCTAGTAAAATTTCAACTACTTTTTTCACAAGAATTAACGTATTAACCTGAAAATTCATAATAACACATCAAGGGACCAAGAATAGCCAAAATAATCTTAAATAAAAAC